TAATAAAGATGGATAAACCAGAGACGTATTCTGCCCCTTCCTCGAATAATCTAATCATCTGCTTTATAAAACTTAATGTGGATCATATCATAACATGCATTGTATAAGTTTAACCTGTGGGTGATGGGGAGTGTTTTGGATAAAGTCACCAAACCTTTTAAGCAGTGACACTACCCACAGTGCACTGCCCACGGACATTGCCAGACAAATTCAATCCCAATCATCCAGAGCGTTTTATACCCGTCAACAGTTCCACCCTTCCAGGGTATTTTTGACTCCTCACTGAGGGAGCATGTCGGGTAAACAGTTCAGTTTCCCGGGCAGCCCTCCAGGAAGTGGAGCGGCCGGCTGCTTCCCGTGGCCCAGCAGGCCAACCGGCGGTACTTCCTGTTTTGAGCCGTTCACAGATCCTCTTATTTCCTGGTGCTGAAAGAAACAGGAAGTGGCCTGGTGGACAGATCAGTTGATGGGGTCTGAAAATCGAGCATCAGGACTGAGCTCATTATTTTAACCAGACAAAACTAAAAGAATCACAGTCCATTGCATGTGGAGAGGAGAATTATAATGAAACTACCCATAGAACAGTATCTGAATACTTTATGGTGTTACATAGTGCAGTATTCAAGAGATTGTTGTGTTACAGTGGATTGATCAGGCTGATTGTTTGGTTGTGTCTAAAGTTATGTTGACGCTGTGATAAAGAACCAGTCGACAAGATGTGAATACTTTTCTCTTGACAGTGTTCGGCCCTGAACCTCAGGATGACGACCTCTTGTTATTCTGTACAAGAACACAGCAAAAATAAATTGAATTTCTCTCTTCCCCCGCTCGTCTTTCTTTACTATCACATTCTTTGCCTAATTGTCTTTAACTCCGTTTGTTTGTTTTTCCATGTGCCGCAGTGAGGAGCGTATGACGGCGGCTCGAGTGAGGAAGTGCGTCAAGTGCGGGACGGGCCTGGTCAAGTCGGAGGGCTGCAACCGCATGTCGTGCCGCTGCGGCAGCTTCATGTGCTACCTTTGCCGAGAGCCCATCACTGGCTACAACCACTTCTGCCAGCACGCCCGCTCTCCTGGCGCGCCCTGCCGTCACTGCCGCAAGTGTTCCCTCTGGACAGACCCCACGGTAACTTCTCACTGACGTGTTCTTCGTCGTTGGAGATTCTTGTTGCCTGGCTTTGTGGAAATCACAGCATGACATTAGTTTTCTTTCTGCTGCAGAAGTAACAGACTTGTATGTCATCTTATTTCATTCAAACGTGTCCGATCATTCAGTCCAGTCGCTTTCAGCAGCCCTCTCCACACACACTCGTTTACACTCACAAAGATTTTCACTAACTCCCCGTGCACTTTGACCGTGAGCGTCTGACTCCTGTGCAGCCCAGCAGCAACCTGGCCACAGTATCATTGGCAACCAGAGGCAACAATTAGTCCCTGAGAAGTTAATGAGCTGGAGCTGCTCCAGTAGCTCTGCGGAGGCACCAGAGCCGGCCAAGAGCTGGTCCTGAAAGCTTCGCCAAGAAATGGATAAACGCAGGGACCAGTGGAGGGGGGGGTCAGCTGCTTTCTGAACATTATTTAAATTAGAGGTTTTCTGCCGAGCGTAGAGGTGAAAGAAGTTCTGAACAAGAGGTCTTAAAAAGGTCTCAACCCAAAAGTTATTTTTTTAAGTTAGCTGGACCACACCGGCTTCTCTAATATCAAACTGCTCTCCCTCACACCACAGTAGTTCTGACCTGTCGGGAGGCAGTTTTCTCCAGAACAGACACAACAAGCCGGCAGCTAAACCAGCACTGTGTCGTCCACAGCTTGATTTTTAATTACAGGGGAATCTGAGAATGGGAATTAAACTGGGAATTCAACCCTACGAAATGTGAATTGGATAAGATATGATGCGATGTTCTGTTCATACTGTTGTGAAAACAATACAGACAAAGGATTTGGGCCCTGAAGTCTGAACGTGGCCTAAAACCACAGCAGTGAGCAGAGTGCAGAAGGAGTGTCAGTAGTACTTGTGTGGGATTCCTGTGTCATTGGAACAACTCTAACCTTCTTTGTGTTTGTGTGTCTGCAGCAAGATGACGAGCGAATCATTCAGGAGATCCAGAAGGAAGGCGAGGAAGAGCTGAAGAAGAAATGTACAGGTCAGTTCACCAGCGTCTCAATATTCACCATATTTATTTTGAAAACTGTAAACAAACTACTTTAGTCGAACTGTTGAGACCCAATGTGTTTTTATCCCATTTATCAGCTCCCTGTTATTTTTCTAGACGTATGTACTGTGGTGAATAATGTTCCCTGGCAGAGGAGTGTTGCACTGCATCATTACTCTTCCTCTCTGCTGCATCCTCAGTCTTTTTCAACCTTTATTTATTCAGACACATTGGCTGTTAACAACACGAACCGGCAGCAGTTGCGGATGCTTTTCCTGTGTTTGTCCGAATGTGTTTGTGTTAAGTATGTTAAGCAGGTGGTTGTGTACAGAGGTTTTTCAAACCCTAAGGAAAGTCTTTTTCCTCTGAGCTAAGAAACCAGATTGGACGAGACGGCTGCTTCACTTCCTTCCCTGTTTTTTTCTTCTTCTCTCAGATAATTCAGGGAAGAGGGTTGGTCCTCCTCTGGAGCCCGTCACGGACACCAAGCGACTGCGTGTGGGTCCGCCGGCCGAAAACCCCCCCAATCCCCAGGCCCCTCCTCATCCCCAGGCGGTCCAAGCTCACCTGTTCGTCCCTCCGCGTGCCCACTACCCTCCAGCTCCTCCTCAGGGCAGGATATACCACCAGGTGATTGTGCCTCGGCTGCCCCCGGCACCTTATGTGCCCCCCCTGCAGCACCTGCCCCCCCTGAACAATAACAACAACAACAATCACCACCACAACGCTCCCGTCAACCCTCATCACCACAACATGGACGTATTGGACCTGCCCATGCACTACGGACCCCCACACCGCTACTACAGACGCTTCTAACAGACGCTGTGTGGCGAGTGTGTGAGTTTGGCTACATCCACACTACACCTGAGTTTTGAAGCCGCTAAAACGGAGAAGTTCTGAAACGCCGTTGGACCCGTTTTAGTTTGACAACTCCAGGGCTGTCTTTTAATCTGAATGTGCAGAAACGGAGATGTTAGAGGAACGATGACATAGACTCTGTCAACTTGCTGATTGGTTCTTTTTCGGTCACGACGTAGCATTTGCTGATTCGTCAGGCTCCTTTCAAGCATTAGCTTCACAACACAACGTGGATAAATTGGATAGACATGTGTAGAGTAACAAGCGTTGCTTACCCTGTTGTCTTTGCTAACAGCTGTTGTGCAGTTAAATTCTGTATTTTACAACAATACGACTGCTTATGTGTGTAGGTGACGAGTTTGTATACTTGCTTGTAGCCTAGCTGTTTCTGCAACTAACACCGAGTGCCCTGTGGACGCGAGTGGTCACTCGATTCCCGTTCTCAGGCCTGGTAATATGGACAGGGATTAAAACTGATACGGAGCCAAAACAAATGTGTGGACAGATAATTATGGTTTGACAACGTAGTCTTAGTGTGGATGTAGCCTTAATCCTGTTGCGAATATGTCATCGTTGGACTCATACACGTTCTGTTTTTAGAGTTCTACTTGTCATTTCAGTGGCGGTTTTGAGATCTGATGTTCTTTTCCGTGATCATCACCTTGTTCTGTTCATTTTTTTCCTTTTGTTTCACATCTTGCATCTCAGACCTTCTGCTTGACTCGTTCTTTTGGCTTCAGATAGTAAAACACACTGAAATGACTGATACACACATTCAGACACTTTGCCTTCTCCCACTGAGCTTGGGGCGTAGGATCCTCACGTCACATGTTTTATCTTTCCTCTTTTTATGCGTAAATATTCGGGTTGAACTGACAAATGGTTGAGAATCCTGAGGCGGGTTAGTCCCTGTTTGTACAGATATTTTTGAGACAATAAAAACCGACAGTTAACATTCCCTCCTGTATCTTTTTGTGTAATGTGTGAGACCACACAATTTTCTAATAAAGCTTTGTGTTCACTTTGTCTTGAGACTTAGATTGCGTCTCTCTGAACCTCTCTGCCTGTCTCTCTCTCTCAGACCATGCAGTCTGCCCCCCCCCCCTCGTCTCATGCAGAAAAAGGGGCTGACTCATGATAACTGAGCCCCTGGGCCATGCACCAATCACATGACAGAGAGGATGTTTTCCACCAATCACCGCGTAGCGACAGCCAGGCTTTGTGATGTTGCAGAGAGAGGGGACTTCTTTGTTCAGCCAAGTGTGCTGTGAGTGTGACAAATCATTTCGCTGCACACACACACACACACACACACACATACAGTCTTCTGCATACAGTCTGTAAAAGTAGCACAGCGAACCCCCGTTTTAGCCCGGGGGTCCTAATGGTGTTAGTCATGGGTGGTAGGAGACAGACTGTGTTTGTGTGAGAGCCACAATTAGACTTAAATCAGATTCAGCATCTAACACCAGCCGTGCCGTCATGAATGAAATAATCTACGTTGTATTTAACACCCAGGCACGAGGGCACACAAAAGTTTATTACTGCGTCCATCTGCTGTCGTTGAGCTATTTTACCACAGACGTCAACTTTATGACGTCAGGGAAGTCAATAAATGTTTTTATTTCAATGCAATTTACACAGTGAGGTTGAGACCTCACAGAATTATAGAGGAACAGGTTCCACAACAAGAACGAGCAACCTTTTACCATGAAGTAACTCTAGAATCAGACTCAGTGTGGGGGGGTGCGTCTGCCTCGACTGGCTGGGGCGAAAGTTATCGGGGTTACTTACCGATGGACCAACGTTGTCTTTCCTGGAGCCACAAAACTCACATGACTAAGATATGATATTGTATGATGTGATAATATTATCCTCTGTTAGTGCAAAGTCAAAAAACAGACATTAATAAAGAAATCAGTAAACTGGTTCTGGGCGGCTGTGGCTGAGCGGTAGAGCCCAGACAGATAAAACCATGACGAACCTAGAAGGACCGTTTGTTTGCAGTGGATTACTTGTGCCGTTGTGTCAGTGCAGTAAACATGGTGGCTGCTCAGTGGAGGGCAGTCACCCTGGTCTCAGACATGTGACCCCTCCGCCTGACGCTCTCCTGATGAAGAGAGAAAAAAAAACAACCCACGCCTCCTTTAGACAAAAAATCCTTTTCTGCTGTGTTGTATTTTTTTCATCGTCCTTGAAAGCACCGCAGGGCCGACGCTAGACAAGTGCCTGGCTCATGGATTACGGTTGAATGGTATTATAGTATTATTTGCTAATGACTCATTGCGTTTGAAGAACAAAGGGCTGGATTAACTAACGTGATAAGGCTCAATAAAGGAGACTCTGTCACTCAGAGACACCCACTCTAACATTTAAATAGATTTTAAGATGCTGGTTTACTGCAGTACAAATACTTCATATACATGATGATCTTAGATAAGTTGGTATTTTCTGCCAAGGTAGCGGTATGACAATTTTTCAGTTTTCCCTGTAATTAACATTTAAAGAACCGATATCTGTGTGTGTGACATTTGGGGCAGCTTGATTCAGGGGGACTGCAGAGGTATGTGTTCTGCTGAGTTTGATATGAGTCGTATAAATACGCTGACCTCGTCTTATCTGCCTTGACATATAGATTTTATACAATAATACAGCGGCATGAACGTTCCCTATTCAAACCCCTGAAAACAAACAGCTGGTTATGGGTGTGATGCAGTGAATAGGTTTTTGATTAGATTCAGTTTGAGCTGCATTTTCGTTTGTGGTTCTGAAAATATGAACCAAACACGACCCGAGTATCTGCTCCAACACCTGAGACAGAAAAATATCAGCTTCCTGCCGCTTTGACTTCATGTTCCAAGCTCTGAGGACGACCTGCACACCCCCAGTCAAGTACGTGTGTGTGTACGTGTGTGTGTGTGTGTGTGTGTGTGTGTGTGTGTGTGTGTGCATGCATGCATATTAACGCCCTCTGCTGCGTCTTCCTCTGGGACCTCTGGTGTCTGTTTGCTCCCCAGACAGATTTTGCCTCTCTACCTCCGCTGGCATTGTTTGTGTGCGTAATTATTTGTGTGTATCATTAATGATTGTGTCTATTTTTAATGAGTGTGTGCTGGTACTGCTCAGTGCTGTGACTTGCACAGTGTTTGAAAGAGGTTTCATATGAGTCGGAGTGACTCTGTAGATCTGATCCGACTCCATTTTGAGGTTGTTGCTTGTGCTTGTTTGTCAAATGTCTCGAAAACGAATGGATTTCTAATCTTGAGTTTTGTCTTTCTACATTACTGCTCCTCTCAGGATGATCTGTAACCTCTTAGGTGATCTGTTAACTTTATTCTAAAGTCATTGCTGCATAATCTTGTTAGTATTTGTCCAGTACTTTGATTTATGACCAAATACCCACAATAACTTGCAAACCCAACTTTGTAATAGTAGTGATCAAAGTAAACTTAGAACATTAGAAAAAACTTGATAAACCTGCTAAACATTTAGATTTAACATTTAACATTGAGATTTGTAATAAATATTTTACATATATATTAATATAAATATTTCTACTTTTTACATTAAAGTTTTTTTAATTGAGCACCCCATACAACATGTTAGCACTTTCATATTGAGCATGCTAATATTAGCATTTATCTCAGGTACGGCTTCACAGAGCTGCAGACCAATCTTTGATAGACATTCGTTTCTACGTGTCAGTGCAGTAAATGTAAAGTTATGTTCGACAACTTCTATTCATCCACAGAACAGAGTTACTGCATCTCATCCCCTAAAGAGATTAGTGAGTGACCCAGTGACCCAGTGACTGTAAGTGATGGAAAAACCAGTGGATGTAGATTTGATTAGAGGAGATGAGAGGAGAGTACAAGCACATGTACACACACACACACACACACTTAGGAAGATAAGTGTGGGAAAGGTTCGGAACAACTCAGCAGAGTTTGGTCCCTTCACCGTTTCCTCAATGATGATGAGCTCTTTACTGATCAAAGACAAACATCCCCCGTCATCCTCCTCCTTTTAATCTTCCTCCTCCTTCTGCAACCCCAAGGGTCCACACACACACACACACACACACACACACACTCACACACTCACACACACACCCCTTCTTTAAGTCCCGTGCACCCCACCCCCTCAAACATACACACACACACACACACACACACAGCCTGCATTTTGGATATAATGAAGCTTTTTGACATCTCTGGCCTGACGACAACACACACACACACACACACACACAGACACACACACAGAGACACACGCTCGCCTCTTTGATTCAGCTTCCAGCAGCTGGCGTTTCCATAGCAACAAGGCAGTAGGTTGGGGCTTGGATGTGGGTGGAGATGGCAGCCATTTCACACACCGCTTCTCCTCCCTCCCTTCAACCCTGCCCTCCCTCCCTCCCTCGCTTCACTCGTTCATTTGTTCTGAAAAAGAGAGAGATAGAGGGAGCCAAGCAGCCGGCCCCGCCTGCAGCCCAGACACTTTACCCATAAACCACTGCACCCATTTCTGGGATCTGGGTCATATTTGGAGTGACTCATCTTTTCAGCAAAAAATCGTCCAGAGGAGGGAGGAGAAAAAAAAAGTGAGGGATGGAGAAGCGGTGGTGGGAAAGGAGTGTGGCACAGAGGGATTGATGGGAAGAGGTGGTTAAAGCAGGGGGAGAGAGAGAGAGAGAGAGGGAGCGACGGGTGAGGCAGCAGACGGGAGGAGATTAGATAGAGGGGTGGTGTGTGTTTGTTTTGCCGTGTTGGGTGTTCCTCTGGGATCTGCGAGCCTGACGGGGGAAATGGATTAGAGACCTGCTCTGGAGGCTCCATCATTACATTACCACCCTGAATCCTGTGTCTGTGTGTGAGTGTGAGAGGGGGTTGCCCTTTCTCTGCACTAGAATAAATGTTTCCACACAAAGGCCCTATTCAGCGGAGACAGGAAAAAGTGTGTGTGTTTCCATATAGTGTGTGTAAGTGGGACAGCACATGGGGCTGCTGTGGTCAGAAAACTGGCAGGAGACCAAGTATGAAGCGCTGTGATTATGTGAGAAATGAGGATTGTGGGGGAGGACGATGATGTCCAGGTTGAATCAGTGCCACCGCGTGAAAATAAACAAAATCCTGCAGACGCGTTTCAGAGGATCTGATTCTGTCTAACTCTCCGTTTGAACTGAACTTTATTTGAAAGTCAACTGAAGATTTATTTAGTCTCAAGCTCTTGAATGTCACGTTGAAGTTGAGGAAAATGTGCAGAATGATGCACAACACAGGCGCCTGCTCTTTGTCCAAACTCCGTTTGAAATCATGATGAATTGTTTCTGAAGTTACCCAGAGTTCTGATGGTAAATCTGTTCTTGTTGCTGCACGTGCATCTTGTACATACGCAGAGGGGGAGAACGTCGGGACACGTACGGTCCGAAGGACTCATATATAACAAATATCTCAGGCTGCATGTCTGTCGGGTCACAGAACACACGTGTAGCTGTTACATGTCAGCTGTTACATGTCAGTGACAGAGAGTAGTGGCAACTAAGAAAACTGTGGAATGAGAAATGGACAAATTATTTTTTTGTAGTTGAAGAAAAAGAAAGGACAGTAGCTGTGTTTACACTGTTTATATCTTTTCCAGTAAGTTTAGTTTTCATTAGTTATTTGATGCTATAAAAACGGGGTGAGATGTCATGATTGACAGCTGCATCTGCTTCCAAACGATGGCAGCGTTCATGTCCGGGATATTGTGGCTTCTCTTCTGGATAGTGAGAGAAAGTGGAGACCCGGCGTTGAGGTTTCATATGAGAGTACTGAACACATCACAAAAGGAAAACAACAGACATGTAGCTTCCAAATCCCAGTTTTATTGGTCGTTGGATTTCAGGTGAACCAATGGCACAAGAGAGATTAATCCACAATATTGAAAAAAAACATACAAAATAATAATACAAAAGGACGTTCCAGTTATACAAAGCAAAGATGTGGATTCTTTTT